CCTGTCACTCCTTGTGGGTGGCCGTCAGCATATCACCTCCGGGTGAGCATGATTCACGGTGATAACCTAGCTATCATCGGGAATCCCAAAGTAACCTTCGGTGCGTGGTTTAGGATTCCACGTAACGTCAAAGCAGAGTTTTTGACGGACGATTAACCCTGGACCGGCCCGATAGTCGCAGACCTCAACGTTGTGGGCCAACTATTAGTTAGCTAATTTTGTCAATTTGGTTTACACATAAAAATTCTTGTACTGTACCTCTGTACTTACAATTTATTACATTACTGTATTGTTAAACTTGTACAACAATAAAAAATCTCAACATTTCATATATATTTTGCACATATACTGAACATTGTCAAAGTTTGTATAAGTGTAAGAATCTTTTTGACCCTTGTAAATATTATGTTTGTTTTATATTTGCAGTAGAATTGTTTTGTAATGAAGGTATTATTTTGTTACATTCATTACTGAAATGTCAATGTTACATGACCTCCTTTAATTGCTTGTGTGTACTTAAGCACACTGTTTAGTTGTAAATTTTTAAACATTGAGGACATTTTGTTTTTTTACTAAAAAAATTCATCTTACAGCTAGGCATCCAGTGAAAGAGGTCCTGCTCTGCTCCAGGCTTCGTCTCAACGTCTGCGACACTGCTGAATCCAGGACTACTAAATAAATATGAAACTCACTAAACACTGTGAATCTAATAAACCCAACAACGTAACATAATCGTACGTTACATTGGTGCTATTGATTACTCCGAAGTAATCAATATAATAACTATATGACCCATATGAAAAACATATCAACGTATAAGTACCCGATAAAATGAATATAAGAAAAACAGTTCTTTAAACCATAACTGAGACCTGCTTGTGTCCGGAGAGACACACACACAACAAATTAAAATTGTGGTAACTGAGTGCCATACAGCCCGCAAAGAACTGCGTCCATTACAGTCTAAAATTAACCGAGTCGATTACATTGAATTCCATCCCATGTTGTCCTCCGTATGCAGGCCGACAAATAAATTGATTTACCTATTGCGATTAAAGTTTTAATTAAGATGCGTTAAGCGTAAGATAAGTATAAGATCGGATTAAAGAATAACCTCTTAATGTGTAAACCACAGCTTATAATCTTAATGCTGGAGATAAAAAACTTAATCTTGTCCGAAGGAAGTTAAATCATGACTTTGACATGCATGTGTCCGGACGGCACTGACTCCATAAATATAAGGATAATAATAAATATAAGAAATATAAGGTCCAATACAGCGGTTTCCATCGTAAGTTGTTCTTCGAATGCGTGGTACGTTTATCAGCCTCGTGAATTTGCTGATTGCAGATCAGCTGTAACGGCAGCAGTCGGAGCGTCGGCACCTGTTGAATAAAAAAAAACAATTTTTTGGGGGGGGACGTCAAAGAGATATTTATTTCTGGTGTGGTGAAAATGGGTCCTTGCGTCTGTCCAGGGAGATTTTCAGAGCAGCAAATTACAAAATTGGTTACTGAGTCCATCTGAAGTCGTCGTTGGTGGGACTTCCTGAATGTCCTGACTTCCAGGACGAGCGTGTGTCTTGCTTTCCGACCGCCCCTCACGGTCACCTGTCCCTCGATAGAACTCTTGGTGACTCTGATACTTTTGATATCGTTCGCCTTATACGTTTTTGTTCTCGTATTGGCATCCTTGGTGATATTTAGCGCCCTCTGATTATTTTGCGTATTTGATGGTGCTAGATAGCCTTCCCGGTTTGGTGTCTTCTTTTGATAATTACTTACTTCCTGCTACACCAGCGGTCAAACTGATACAGCCAGCGGCCAGGGACAATCCACAGCCAGGGCAAACCAGCAGGCAGTGAGGCTGCATAAAAAATTTTCGGGCTTAACCGGCAGACAATAAGTCTGGCAATCCAGCAGCGAGGCGCCCGCATAATAATTCCGGGCTTACCCGGCAGACAAAAGGTCTGTCACTCCAGCAGCGAGGGGGGCTGCATAGTAACTCCGGGCTTAACCGGCAGACAAAAGGTCTGGCAATCCAGCTGCGAGGGCGGCTGCATAATAATTCCGGGCTTAACCGGCAGACATAGGTCTGGCAATCCAGCAGCGAAGGCGGCTGCATAATAATTCCGGGCTTAACTGGCAGACATAGGTCTGGCAATCCAGCTGCGAGGGGGGCTGCATAATAATTCCGGGCTTAACCGGCAGACATTAGGTCTGGCACTCCAATAGCGAGGGCGGCTGCATAATAATTCCGGGCTTAACTGGCAGACATAGGTCTGGCAATCCAGCTGCGAGGGCGGCTGCATAATAATTCTGGGCTTAACCGGCAGACATAGGTCTGGCAAACCAGCAGCAAGGAGAGCTGCATAAGAATTCCGTCTTAACCAGCAGACAATATGTCTGTCAATCCAGCAGCGTGGTGAGCTGCATAAAATTTTCCGTGCTTAACCGTCAGACAATAGGTCTGGCAATCCAGCAGCGAGGAGAGCTGCATAAAAAATCCGTGCTTAACCGGCAGACAATAATTCTGGCAATCCAGCAACGATGGAGGCTGCATAAGAATTCCGTCTTAACCAGCAGTCAATCTGTCTGGCAATCCAGCAGCGTGGTGAGCTGCATAAAATTTCCGGGCTTAACCGTCAGACAATAGGTCTGGCAATCCAGCAGCGAGGAGGCATAAAAAATCCGGGCTTAACCAACAGACAATAATTCTGGCAATCCAGCAGCAATGGAGGCTGCATAAGAATTTCGTCTTATCCAGCAGACAATATGTCCGGCAATTCAGCAGCGTGGTGAGCTGCATAAAGGGTTCCGGGCTTAACCGGCGGACAATATTTCCGGCAAGCTAGCGGCGAGGGCAAGGCTGCATAAGAATTTCGTCTTAATCAGCGGCCACTAGGTCTGGTGGCTGCATAAAATGTCCTGCCTAGGCATGGCCTAGCTAGAGCGGCTACAGGCCGCATGGGGAACAGCGCTGGGCACACGCCGACACTTGGGAGGGACCTATCTTTACATTTAGAACATAAGATACCACTTTACCTTGTAGAAAGTTGAGTAGTGTAGGCCGCCCCTAGCTGGTCAGCATGTGAGGTTGAAGGGCCCACGAAGTTAAACTCAACCTGGGTGGGGTCACGGATTGTGGTAGCAGTCGTAGTTTCCATAGCTTTTAGAAGTCCCAAGAACACAAAAGTCCTAAGTTTTTCTTTTGTCTTGCGAAGCGAAGCGTGTTTGTAGCAGGGGAGGTGGTCTGTTGGCCAACAGTACGCCGAATCCTTTTTTCTTTTGACTTGCGAAGCGGAGCGTGTCTGGAGCAAGAGAGAGTGACGTTTTTCACTCATACGTCAGGCAAGATGTCATCACGCTTCCACATTGAAAACATTCCGCGGCCAGCGGGCACTCGCCCTTCGGGGGGGTGGTCCGGCCTGCTGGCTCTGCGGAGTGGGGGTGCAGCGCCGGCCCCTAAGTATTACGCTGTCCGCAGCTACTTACTCTGACTTGTAAGAGTACTGTAATGTTAAATTTGCCCTCTAGGTGTATTCTACAGCTACTGGTAATTTACGATTTCACATTATGTCTGGGATTGGCGCATTATTTCTGTCATGTGTTAGGCCACTATATGCTACTCTATAAGCCCCGATTCTACTTTAAAATTATGTTAAACGTTTGCCTTACTTGTACACATAGTTAATAAGGATTCGGCGTTCTGCAGACCATGTTTTATTTAGTTACCGGCTATAAGCATATGTATTAATGCTATTAAGTTGTTGTAGTGTAGTCAAGTTATACATGTATTTATGCTGTTGTAAATTATACAAGTTAACTGCTTCATTAACATGGTCTGCAAAAATTATTTATTTGTTTCTACTATTAATTAAATAAATAGGTCCCCATGCTGTTGGTGTCTTATTCCTCCTAGATCAGAAATGATTATTATGAGATTACATCAACGAAAACATATCAGGTCAACATTAAGTATAGTTTGCAGTTGTGAACATGTTAATACATATGTTCCAACATCATTCCTGGAAAACTTAATATTTGCCGACTTTAGTGCTTTAGTTTGTCACATTATATTCTTTACTCCTCACATAAATATTATCAGATTTTTTAAATGTAGACTGTAAGGTGGGCAACAGTGAGTTAGGAGCACTGACTTGTTTGTTCTGATACATGTATATTCAGTCACTACCATGAATCCCTTTTGTTTTATTTGTAATTGTCTAATATAACATATATTTCCTGCAATTTGTACTCTTAAATATAAATAGAACTTAAAAGAATTCTGAGGAAGAGAGTTTTTCACTAGTGGTTGAGCATGTCATAATCATCACACTTGTCCCGTGCTTACACAATTATGGCAGCCAGAAAATAAAATTAGCCTTCCATTAATAAATGATTATTGACTGATCTAACCTATACTATTAGTTTCACGAGTAGCTCTAACTTTCTGATGTCAAACACATAGTGAGTAAAACTGCTTTCAAGTAAAGGAAATGCAGGTCATTGGAGGTTAAGTTATGCTCCCACTGTCACCATATGCTGGTTATGGGAGGGTAACAGCTACGCTCACACTGTCGTAATGCTGTAGATGTTGCTGGTAGTTATGCCATCTGAATGAAGATAATATGATTAGTGTGGTGGCCTTTGAGTAATAGGCAATGATACTTGAGTGTTCTCCAAATTGGCCCGATATCTTGGTTGTGAAGCGAAGCCACAGCTCATTGCTGGATCTTGACATGTAGAATTGAAGCCACAGTTCATAAACTGAAGCAAAGACCAGAAGATGAGGAAGGGATAATGTTTCGGTCCGTTCTGGATCATTATCAGGTCGACTGACAATCAACTCAATAATGGTCCAAGACAGACTGAAACGTCGTTGTCTCCTCCTCGTGTGTGGTTTGGTCATCATATTTTCAGCCACATTACTGTGACTCGTCGTCTGCATGAAGCAAAGACGTTTGTGATGTACCAAATGTGTCAGAATAAGTGGTTGGGTTACATGAAATCCTGTTTATTCATATCAAAGTGAATGCAGGCTAATTGATTGTACTTAGCCTCAAATCTTGTGACAAATTTCTATTAAAATGATTAAGTTTCCAGGAATTACCTGTATACATATACTTTAATAAAATAATTCAAATGTGGCAAGCAATTCAGAAAAACATCAAGGGAAGACTTTTACATTAACATCAGCTCACCATAATAATGGGATACCACATTTTATTGGAACTGCCAAGATCAGTGTTCAAGCCAAGGACTGAACTTGAGGTCATTTGCTTTAATAACCTCAGAACTGGTTACTTAATTGTAGATGATAGGAAACATGCTAAACTTTCTCAGAAAAACATAAAAAGTAAGCAGGACTTTAGCATGACTGATGTTGTCTTAGTTTTGCTTAGCAGAAATATGTATGTTGTATTTAGCATACCTTTTTCATATTGTAAAATGAGTTTCAAATTTTGAGCATATTGTGACAGGAATTCTGGCATTACTAGATAAATCTGTATACTTTTAGCCATAACAAAATTTAGCATAATTTTGTATTAGTACCACATGCTTTCTATTGATATACAGTATAGTCCAGCAGCTGCACTAATAACTTATTAATTTCATTGTCTTTGCATAAAGATTCTTCCTTTCACTCACTTTTAAAAGCAAACAGCCATTGGCCAGTCATATTATTTGCAGTAATTTTAGCATTAATGAATTATTATTCAAGTTGTCTTTTATTTAAGGGATTCTCAGGGCTCTTCTGCCATTCCTTCCTTAACATCTGTTTCAGCTGTGACAGTCGTAAGTTAGGATTCTCTTTTTTAATCTGAGGAAGTCTTACTGATTCAAAGGCTTTGAAAGCAGCAGCCATTCTCCTCTCTGGATGACGGTCTGTCGAGTCATCCGGAACACTGCAATACGAAAAGTTATGCATAAGTAAACTGTATTCTGAATCTACTGTAAATATGTAGCTTTTGCAAAATTTCAAATTCAAATTTTTCAAATTTTGTATTCAGGTAAAAGTACATACATAGATGATGAGTTACAAACATATTTACAGATAGAGCTAGTGCATACAATACCTAAAGCCACTAACACGCATAGCGTTTCGGGCAAAAATAGCACAATGCGTTTGAGCTTTAACGCAGAAAAGCACACACATAGTTATGACCATTTATATGCCCTTATATAACAATACTAATCATTTTAATTCCCAAAGTACTATATGTAAGTGCAGAGAATGATAGAATACATAGTATGAAACAAGAATAAGATACCAAAACACATACAGTACTTGGGAAGTCTGAAAGCTACTCTGGTGTTAAAATAGGTAGAATCAATTAACATTTTTATTAAGTAAATTTCCTAAGCACCTAGCTTCCCATATGGAAAAATTAAACAGTAAATTACAAAAACAGAGCAGCGAGTGTAATGAAATGCCACGTTCTGGGTAGCTTCATCGATAGTTTACCTCAGCTTACCTCACTGGCAGCCTAGAACCTCAAGAAATATGCCATCGATAACCAAACCTCACAACAGAAGATGAAGAGACGACGATGTTTCAGTCCGTCCTGGACCATTATCAAGTCAATTGTCTTGATAATGAACTTGATAATGGTCCAGGATGGACCAAAATGTCATCGTCTCCTCATCTTCTGGTGTGTGGTTTGGTCATCATATCTTCAGCCACGTTATTGTGACTCATCGTCTACAAGTATGCCAACCTCTGTGACTCACCCTTGCCCACTGGAAACAAGTATCATTTCAGACCAACTTGTTAGGTTAAATCACCTGGAAAATGACAGGCATGTACTAGAAAACCATCATATCCACATTCTGAGAACCAAAAGTCGTACAGCCTGTGAACTGCCGGGCATACAGCCTTGGGCTAAGATCACAAACCCAGCACCTGGGTGAGGAAGCATTGCCCCAGGGCATAGAGAGATAGCACCAGGGCATGTAATCAAGCAATACTAGCCGATTTGCTTATGCTCGAGCTGTCATTTCATATATGTCCCTAGCTGCATACCCTGCCAATACGTAGACATACTTGTGATAATTGGCACCCCAACCTGGGGAATGAGAAAGACATATGGTTCTATGGATAGTGATACCAGAACTGGCAAGAAGGTATAACATGGCTCATGGAAATGTCTTCAGATATTTTCCCACCTCCCCATACACACAAAATTAAAAATTTTGCAAAAATGGTACAGTAGCAGAGAAGACCCCTCTAAATTATAGACCAGCAGCATTAACAAGCATGGCAGTCAAAACACTAGAAAAATTTGTTAAAACTAAATGGCTAGAACACCAGGATATTAAGGACGTAATAACAGACAGACAGTATGGTTTCCAAATAGGAAGATCCTACGTACCAAATCTACTTCGTTTTTATGATAGAGCTATAGAGATTCTATAGGAATGAGATGGTTGGGTCGACTGTCTATATGGACCTAAAATAGGCTCTTGACAGAGTTCCCCACAAGAGGCTGTTTTTGAAACTGGATAAAATGATTAAAGAAGAAAAGTCTGAAAATTTTAAGACAAGATAAGGCCTTTCTTATGGTCATTGGACTGATTACCACAAAGCCACGAATGAAGCTAAAACACATCATCAGATCGCTAAACTGTAGTGTTAATTTTAATATACCTTTAACAGTATGAAATAAGAAATGCATGTTAAAGGTATAGATTTTAGATTATTGTGCAGTACTAACAATCATGGCCAACTTTTGATAACATATGTTACTATTTGCTATTTGCAAATACAGTAGTAGAATATTTTACAATTTATTACTTACCTCAAAGCAGATAATGCAGCATCAATACCACTTGCAGACACAATTTCATCAGTGTCTCTATTAAGGTTTTCAACCAAGGGTACATCCAAGTGTGTTTCAATCGATTCTTTCTCTGCTTCTTGTTTTTCTCGATTTTTCTGAAAAGTTAAATTATACAATTGAAGGTAGGCAAAAATATGGGCAGTGCTGATATTTATATTTTATTTTTCTGTCGCTGTTTCCTGGAAATAATTTCTCTAGGAAAAAAGCACCACCACATTCCAGTAATGCATCTATAGCAGCATGTTCCCTGCTTCAATGACTGAAAGAGAATTGTGTGTTTAGTGATGACACTTACTGAATGTTGCAGCTCAAGGGTTAATAGAGAAGGCCTCGGGAGAGAGGTGAGCATACATGGTGTTGGACCACTGCTGTTAAATGCTATGAAAAGTTTCTATGTAAAAAGTAGTGCATATGTAAGAATTAATGATGCAATGAGCGATTAGTTTGATATTAATACTGATGTTTACCATGAATGTCACCTTGGCTGTTCAATATACACATGGATGTATTCTTGAAGGTGGCCAAGATAATTTGAAATGAATTAGATGTACTAGAAAAGTATACAATATTGGAAAAAGATGTAGATGCTGCTGTTAAAAGTTAATATGAACAAAATTCAAGTTATGGAGGTAGAGAGAAGGAAATTTTGTATGAAATACATGTGAACGGTGAAATGGTTTAAGTAGTTTACATATCTGGAGCATGACTTATAAATCAAGAATTGAACTGCTGCTTTCCTACTATGGGCACATTTGATTGTGTTTTGTACCCCTTAAACATAATACAGAGTACAAAACACAATCAAATGTGCCCATAGTAGGAAAGCAGCATGTAAAGGATTTAGGAATAATGATGTCTGACGACTAACATTTAGGGAGCATAACCAAGCTAATACTGTGTTAGCCAGAAAAATGATAAGATGAATTATGAGAACTTTCAAATCCCGGGATCCCATCACAATGGTTGTACTATACAAATCACTTGTACTGTACCATCTTGAGTATTGCTCAGTACTCACTTCCTGCTTCAAAGCAGGAGATTGCTGAAAATGAGGGAATACAGAGAACATAGACGCGATAAAGAACCTAAATTATTGGGATCGTCTCAAAGCTCTCCAAATTTACTCACAAGAAAGGAAATGGGAAAGATATAAAATAATATACACGTGGAAAATACTGGAGGGCCAGGGGGCCCAAATCTATACAGTAAAATAACAACATACCGGAGTGAACGATATGGAAGAAAATGCAAAATAGAACCAGTGAAGAGCTGGGGTGCCATAGGCACAATCAGAGAACACTGTATAAACATCAGAGGTCCACGGTTGTTCAACATCCTCCCAGCGAGCATAAGAAATATTCCTGGAACAACCATGGACTGTGATGGATATGTGAGCCTGTGGGCTGCTCCAAGCAATAGCCTAGTGGACCAAACTCTCACAAGTCACTCCTGGCCTCAGGCTGGGCTTGGGGAGTGGAAGAACTCCCAGAACCCCATCAACCAGGTATCAAGCAGGAACATAACGAAATGATCTTTTCTGGTGAGGTTTCTGGTAGATCCTTGTAGCTTGCACCCTGGCAAAGCAAAGCCTTGAGAGGTGCACCAAGCCTCTGAGACCTACACTGACTTACCAGGAGCCAAGACCAGAATCCAGCGCTCTACAAGGCAATGGGAACTTCAGGATAAGATCAACTTAAAACCAAGAAAAATTTACATGTTATATTACTGACCACAGAAATCAATCAATTTTTGAGGTAAACAAGCCAAATGATCACTGTTACATATGAACAACACTAACTTTGAAATGTCCAAGTCACTTGAAGTCTCAACCAATTCCCACTCACTTATCAGTCACCAGAACTGAAACTCCCAATACTCCTGGGAAAGAAAGGCTCATGGGAACTTATTAAGGGACCCAACACACACACACACACACAAAAAAAAACAGCGCTGAATGTAATCAAATGCCTCTTTCTTGGGAGTGGTCTTGGTGGCTCACAGTAGTCACACATCAGTTCTCAAGAGTCCTTAATAGCTTACCAGAAACCAGAAACTAAAACCTTGCCTCCCCCCCCCCCCCCTTACAGACACACAGGTAGCAGGGGATTTATAATCAGCCTCACCAAAGAAACCTGGCCTCCTTACAGAGATACAGGTAGCAGAGGATACATGGTCACCCCTCACCTCACCAAAGAAACCTGGCCCCCTGTACAGACACACAGGTAGCAGGGAATTCATGATCAGCCTCGCCAAAGAAACCTGGCCCCCTAAGGTCCCTTGGTGAATGGCAAGGTTCACATAAAGTGAACAAACAATGCAGGCAATGCTTCACAAATGATCCACCCACTAGTTAGAACATAAGAACATAAGAACAAAGGTAACTGCAGAAGGCCTATTGGCCCATACGAGGCAGCTCCTATTCTATAACCACCCAATCCCACTCATATACTTGTCCAACCCGCGCTTGAAACAATCGAGGGACACCACCTCCACCACGTTACGCGGCAATTGGTTCCACAAATCAACAACCCTGTTACTGAACCAGTATTTACCCAAGTCTTTCCTAAATCTAAACTTATCCAATTTATACCCATTGTTTCGTGTTCTGCCTTGTGTTGATATTTTTAATACCCTATTAATATCCCCCCTGTTATGTCCATTCATCCACTTGTAAACCTCTATCATGTCACCCCTAACTCTTCGCCTTTCCAGTGAATGCAACTTAAGCTTTGTTAATCTTTCTTCATATGAAAGATTTCTAATTTGGGGAATTAACTTAGTCATCCTACGTTGGACACGTTCAAATCCATTCGTGAATTTATATCCATTCTATAATACGGTGACCAAAACTGAACTGCATAATCTAAATGGGGCCTAACCAGAGCAAGATATAGCTTAAGAACCACACCAGGTGTCTTGTTACTAACGCTTCGATTAATAAATCCCAGTGTCCTATTCGCCTTATTACGAACATTCATGCATTGATCCTTTTGTTTTAAATTCTAACTAATCATAACTCCCAGATCCCTTTCGCAATCCGACTTCGCAATCTCAACACCATCTAGCTCGTATCTTGTAACTCTATCATCATTTCCTAGCCTCAGAACTTTACATTTATCAGCATTAAACTGCATTTGCCAATCATTTGAGCATTTCAAAACCCTATCTAGATCAACTTGAAGTGATAGTGAGTCCTCCTCCGAATTAATTTCCCTACCGATTTTCGTACTCCCCCTTGGCAACAGCTAACCACTACCTGATGAGTTCTTTGCTGCATTGTTGGTTTACTGTATGTGAATTTGCAGTCATGTTTTGCTTCACTTCATTTCTGGGGGTTTACTTCTTCAGTGAGGGTGATCATGAATCCCCTTGCTACCTGTGCCTGTGAGGGAGGGGGGGGGCCCAGGTTTTGACCTCTTCTCTCCAATAAGCTATTAAGGACTCCTAGGCCTAGCAATGGAGCCACCATTATGCATCTCCAGAAAAGACATTCTGGAGTGAAGGAGGAGGGGGATAGCAGAAACAATGTGATGACTGAAAGGAAAGTTTAGAAAGGAAAGACACCTTTCCTATGTTACTCTCCTATTTTCTGCATGCGTGCACCCTGTGAACGTGGGAAGCATAAAAATAATGAAGATAAACCATACCTGTAACTGGTATGCGGTCACTTTTTGCGGTGGAAGTTTAGGCACTATTTCTGCCACTTCATCTTCTGCTAAAGCTCGATTTTGAGCTTTTCTTTCCAGTTCTGCCTGGCGCTTCTTATCGCGATCCTCCTGTTAACACAGTGCATTAAATTTTGTATTAATTAGATATTCACTGGCATGGTACCACATAATACAGGTTTCCTGATATACAATAGAAAACATAAGCATATAAGCTTATGAAAATTTTTAGTACAGTATACTGTATATTTTATATGCAGAACATACATTATTACAATCACATGAATTATGAAACTCTGGAAGGAAAAAATTCAAAATTATTTGAACATTAGCAATGAAATGAACACTGTACTGTTAGAATTTGTCACTACTACCAGTGATAAGAACACCAACAGCACCACAACACACATGCTTGCCGCAGCTCAACCCACACAAGCAAAACTAGTGAGTACATTTATTGTCAAGTATTTTACAGATAGGCTTAATGAATCAATGGCTTAAATGCCACTTTACGAAACTATGAGATTGTGCAGAAACAAAATTTATGTACAGTAATTATTTTTAATGAAACAGTACATAATTACAAATATAACCCTGATAAAGTTATGCCATAAATGTGCACAGGGAGAAGTCACACTGTCATACTGGTGCTGCTACCTGGTGGTGGTTTGAGGTAGCATCTATGCAGGCCAACTTGTATTTAGTGAAAGTGATTCTTGGCAGTTCCCGTGATGCCAAGTACAGGCAGTGCTAAAAAAGGTTTTGAGTTATTTGAATGAGCCTTAAGAGGTCATTTTGGAGCAGATTGAGTACCCACCCCAACTGTGCAGCACCATCCTATTAAGGTTTCCCAATGTCAAGAAAATGGTCAAATTAAAGTGTCCTCTCCTAACCTACCAGAGAACCGTACACAGAAAATGGGAGAGTACATCACTGTCGTGAGCCACTTCAATTTTTTGCCTTATGTAATGCACATGAGCAAAAATCGACGTTCTTTGTAAGAGGCCAGGTTGGATTGTGAATGATGCTCTTCTGGGGATTATCAAAATCTTGTTCAAGAGAGCAACCGAGTGGTGTAACTCATTAACACAAATGAAAATTGCTGTACTTACCTTTCTTGCTAATTTCTTTTTAATTTGCTTGTCATCATCATCCCAAAATGCTTCCTCTTCAGCCTTATCTTTCTTCAGCTTTTCCTGTGCAGCAGCCTCAGCTTTCCGAGCCTTGGCCACAGCTGCCTTGCTGTTTTCTCCTTGGAATTTTTTGGGCATCTTCTAACTAGCAACTCCTGAAAACTATTAATGCACAAAATATAAATTACAAAAATATTATCACTTAACTTTCTGATAATAAGTCATGTAGTTTTATTGGGTTGTAAGGATTACTTTGGGTTTTGTCCATTAGAGACCAGGTCTTCACATGTGGTACTGTGGAACCTCGATTCAACGAACCTTGATTGAGCAAATCTCCAGTTGGAACACACACTTTCCAAGCTGCCAGACTTACTCACCAGATTCGACGGACAAGAAGTAGGTAATGTTTCACCTAGGAGTAAATAGTATATAAGAGTTAGGCACCTGTTATGGCATGCATCCTGCAGAAGGTTGGTAGTTTACCTAGAGGTATGGTCTTAAAATATGCCTAAGTACTTTAACTTCCTGTCCCTCGACTCAAAGTTGGGATCTTGGATTCAATTCCCAGCTGGGACTGAAATGGTTGGACATGTTTCCTCTCATCTAATGCTCTGTTCACCTAGCAGTAAATAGGTACCCAGGAGTTAGGTAACTGTTGTAAGGGTGCATCCTGGGAAAGGTCAGTAGTTTGACCTTTGGGGGACCTCGATACAAGTCTAAAGTACAGTACCTGTACATATAAAGGAGGACTGAATGGTCCCGGTAGTACTGTCAGGATCGTTCTTGATGCACAATCGAGAAGTCCAGGTTCGAATCCCTAGCGGGACAGAAATGATTGGGCACATTACTGCTGTTCACCTAGCAGTGAGTAGGTAATACTGAGCTAGTCAGTTTGTTGTGAGGTTGCATCCTGGGTCAGTAATTTGGCTTTGGGGGGGAGGGGGGAACCTAGATAAAAGCCAAAATGTGTATGAATACTTTTTGGCTTCCTGCCCCCCAGACACAATGAATTAATATAAAAATATAGCTGCTCTGGAGAAAGTTCAACATCAGGTACCAAAAAACTTTCAAGAACTATGTCAAGTATCCCACCAGGAACAGCCGAGGGTCACTGGGCTAACAACACTACAAACCAGACATGACAAGGCTCATCTCATCAAAACTTTTAAAATACTGAACAATTTGGAGGATATTGGTCCAGACCACTTAGTTAAAAGATCTGATGTAACACAAATATGGCACAACGGTTTCAAGCTTAACAAGCAACAAAGTAGGACAAAACAGATACTTTTTCCCCATAAGGCTATACCAAATAATAGAACAGCCTACCCGTCGAAGCCAAAACGCTACTGTAAATCAAGATCCATCTCAATAAAATCATCAGGAAATATGGTGAGAAACCCCTAATAGGCCGCAGGTTTCCTGTCGAGGCCACAAGAGAGATAATGGCCCTCAGGTAAATTCAGGGAAATAAAACATCCAGTGTGCGAATATAGTGTACGATAAGATCTCCCAAGAGGTTCTTGCCACGCTAAGAAAACCGCTAAGTGGCTCCGTTTCTGCTCCGTAGATAGCTGGGTGTACACTTGTATGGGATGAGGGTGGAGAGAGAGGAGGAGGCAGGAGGCCAGGAGAGCCACAATACGCACCTGGAGTCTGATCTCCGCCTGGCACAGCCGCCGCCACAGTTGACAAACTCTCCTGCCGCTCTCACTTCACCCTCAACCATTGATTTATTTTAAGGACAAGTGAAATATTTTCAAACAATATATTGTCAATTAGGATTCATTTTATTATTAAAATACAAGTTTCTAGGGTAATACTTTAAAATAATTTGTTTCAGCTGATTATCGGAAATTCTAGAAATAAATCCTGGGGGTCGCTTTCAGTGTAATTTTGGCATGGATTTATTTGTTTAATATCTCTAATAACATGTATGGTTTATCGACGTTTACTGTCGTTAGCAATATATTAGTATGTTCTGGTAGCAGTATTTCTTGTAAGAATATAAGAATGAAGGTAACTGCAGAAAGCCTATTGGCCCATACGAGGCAGCTCCTATGTGTATATCCACTCAAACTACAAATACAACAAATACAAAGATTCATTCATATAAACTCCTTCATATAAATGTCTAACCTACGCTTGAAACAATCAAGGGATCCAACTTCTATAATGTTACGCGGTAATTGGTTCCACATATCAACAACCCGGTTACCAAACCAGTATTTACCCATTAGTATTATCCATTTATACCCATTGTTCGTGTTCTATTTTGTGTTGATACTTTTAATTAATACCCCCTATTAATAATCAAGGGATTAATAATCAAGGGATTATTAATATCTAAGCGAATTTTGGTTGTGTGGAGACTCACAAAAGTTGAAAAAAGTTGAACAAATTAACTCTGGAGTTGCATTTATTTAAAAATATTTTTAATTGTACATATATTAAATGTCAGCAAACATGTACACTTGTCTACAACAAGTCACTTGAACTCCAAACTTTTCCAGATATTCTAAAAAAAAAAAGGCGAGAGTAACCCCAGTCCATAAATGTGGTGATCTCACTGATGTCAACAACTTCAGACCTATATCAATTCTGCCAAACTTGTCAAAAATATTTGAAAAACTAACCTACAAGCAGCTTTACTCTTATCTAGCCAAACACAATATACTAAGCTCTTGTCAATATGGCTTCAGACCCCAAAAAAGCACTAACGATGCACTTATTAGTATGATTAACTTGATACATGCAGCTCTTGATAAAAATGAGTTCCCTGTTGGGTTATTTGTGGACCTATGTAAGGCTTTTGACACTGTCAACCACCAAAACCTTCTTCTTAAATTACATCATTATGGAGTCAGAGGTTACTCCCTGCAATACCTTCAGTCCTACCTTACTGACAGGCTCCAGTATGTTTATGTGAATAATTCCATTTCTCCGACACTACCTATAAACATCGGTGTTCCACAGGGCAGCATACTTGGCCCTATCCTCTTTCTCATCTACATTAATAACCTTCCAAATGCCTCTCAACACCTCAAACCAATCTTATTTGCTGATGACACAACTTTCATCTTCTCCAGTCCTGACCCTCTTGCTCTGAATGTCACAGTGAATACTGAGCTAAATAAAGTCCATCTTTGGCTAACTGCCAACAAACTCACCCTTAACATTGACAAAACTTTCTATATTTTGTTTGGTAATAAATCCTCAAATAAAATTAATTTAAGAATAAACAATATACAAATCAGTAGTAAAGTTGATGGTAAATTCCTTGGTGTCCACATTGATAACAAGCTGAATTTCCAGGGACACATTCTAAATATAGCAAAAAAGTTTCTAAAACTGTTGGCATTCTTTCTAAGATCAGATATTATGTTCCTCGCCCTGCCCTGGTGACGCTCTATTACTCTCTCATCTATCCTTATCTCAAATATGGTATCTGTGCTTGGGGCTCTACTACCCAAAATCATTTACGTCCTCTAATTACCCAACACAAAGCTGCTATTAGAACAATATCTAACTCTGGCCCCAGACAGCCCTCGGTACCCTTACTCAAATCTCTGAATATGTTAGATATTAAGTCACTGCACATCCTCTCTTGTGTACTCTATATATTTAAAACTCTGAACTGTAATGTCAGTCCTGACCTTCAACGCTTCCTAGAAGGTTGTAACAGAACCCATGGGCACCACCGGGGAGCCGGTCGGCCGAGCGGACAGCACGCTGGACTTATGATCCTGTGTTCGATCCCGGGCGCCGGCGAGAAACAATGGGCAGAGTTTCTTTCACCCTATGCCCCTGTTACCTAGCAGTAAAATAGGTACCTGGGTGTTAGTCAGCTGTCACGGGCTGCTTCCTGGGGGTGGAGGCCTGGTCGAAGACCGGGCCGCGGGGACACTAAAGCCCTGAAATCATTTCAAGATAACCTCAAGATAACCACACCAGAAACAAATACCTATTTGATATTCCAAGAGTTAGACTTAAAAATGCTCCTATCCAATGAGATTGCTATTCAGGCGATATATAATTCTATTTTACTAGAATTATTATATATAATTCTATTTTACTAGAATTATTATATATAATTCTATTTTACTAGAATTATTATATATAATTCTATATCTTCCGTCTGTTCCCAGTAGCTAATGGATAATAGTCCAGAAAATGAAAGAGGTGCTTTTTGAGCGCTCAATCTAAGATCAATCTAAGAATGCAGGCGATGAGTCACAATAACGTGGCTGAAGTATGTTGACCAGACCACACACTGGAAATTGAAGAGACGACGACGTTTCGGTCCGTCCTGGACCATTCTCAAGTCGAAACGTCGTCGTCTCTTCAATTTCTAGTGTGTGGTCTGGTCAACAATCAATCTAAGAAAATTGGATCCCATTTTTCTGTATGGATCTGTATTTCTCTACAATATATATTCCGTTTTGTAATTGAGTTTTATGGGAGGCCGGGGGCGGCCGGGGGCGCTCGCGGTTGTTATCTGATGTGCCATTTTTCTCAATATCTTCTGATATGGGTCTTGACTGATTTGGCTGAGAGACAGTTCACCATCAGCTGGCTGTCAGCACTGTGGAGAAATGTCCGACAGACCACTGGAACATTATCTAACACAGTGCACAGTTACAACCACAACAGACCACTGGAACATTATCTAACACAGTGCACAGTTACAACCACAACAGACCACTGGAACATTATCTAACACAGTGCACAGTTACAACCACAACAGACCACTGGAACATTATCTAACACAGTGCACAGTTACAACCACAACAGACCACTGGAACATTATCTAACACAGTGCACAGTTACAACCACAACAGACCACTGGAACATTATCTAACACAGTGCACAGTTACAACCACAACAGACCACTGGAACATTATCTAACACAGTGCACAGTTACAACCACAACAGACCAGTGGAACATTATCTAACACAGTGCACAGTTACAACCACAACAGACCACTGGAACATTATCTAACACAGTGCACAGTTACAACCACAACAGACCACTGGAACATTATCTAACACAGTGCACAGTTACAACCACAACAGACCAGTGGAACATTATCTAACACAGTGCACAGTTACAACCACAACAGACCACTGGAACATTATCTAACACAGTGCACAGTTACAACCACAACAGACCACTGGAACATTATCTAACACAGTGCACAGTTACAACCACAACAGACCACTGGAACATTATCTAACACAGTGCACAGTTACAACCACAACAGACCACTGGAACATTATCTAACACAGTGCACAGTTACAACCACAACAGACCAGTGGAACATTATCTAACACAGTGCACAGTTACAACCACAACAGACCACTGGAACATTATCTAACACAGTGCACAGTTACAACCACAACAGACCACTGGAACATTATCTAACACAGTGCACAGTTACAACCACAACAGACCACTGGAACATTATCTAACACAGTGCACAGTTACAACCACAACAGACCACTGGAACATTATCTAACACAGTGCACAGTTACAACCACAACAGACCACTGGAACATTATCTAACACAGTGCACAGTTACAACCACAACAGACCACTGGAACATTATCTAACACAGTGCACAGTTACAACCACAACAGACCACTGGAACATTATCTAACACAGTGCACAGTTACAAACCCATTAAGATTTCAACTTAGATTCAACAGAAGTTGTTAAACACATGGGACAAAATCTTACAGAAGCGACCATACGAGTCATATAAATACTCATACTCCGCCCAAGTAAAACAGAAACAAGCAACACTTAGTGGGCCAGCCAGAGGCTTAGGCCCCGCGTAGGAATATCCCTGCCAAAACAAAAAAAAAACACACAGTTGGGGCCACAGTGGCTTTGACAGGTATTCAGCAGCAGGTGTCCATGATATACTTCATAACATGTATGATGAGAGTATCGGGGTACAGGTTATCCCACAGACTGCAAGCGAGCGTCACGGCGCCTCCAGGGAAGGCTGGTTAAGCTCTCCTCCTCCACCCTGGATAGTATTTCCAATTTCCAGGACAGTTCCAGATGGCTTCCTAAGCTGGGCTCAGCTCATGGGCAATTTTTCACCCACGCTTTTACCTTTCATAACCAGTTATTATTATTATTATTATTATTATTATTATTATTATTATTATTATTATTTGTACAGAGACATCACAGACTGAAATCACAGACTGCCAGCCGCGACTTCTACCACTGTACCACACTGACCTTGTAAAATATAACAGATCAGGGTGGTGCAGCGGTAGAGGTTGCATCAGGTAAGGAAGAATGCCCAATCGTCTCTCCCTGACGCTGGAATTTAACTCGAGAGTCTAGACCATTCGGTTGTGAGCCGACTGCGTTAACCACTACGCCACAGAATTATATATATATATATATATGACAATGTCAGACCACGGAGGAAAAATGAAACAGGAATTTCCTTAAGTACTTTCGTATATTAAATACATCTTCAGAAGGACCTTCTGAAGATGTATTTAATATACGAAAGTACTTAAGGAAATTCCTGTTTCATTTTTCCTCCGTGGTCTGACATTGTCACATTCTTAATCACGTGTTTATTTTCGTGATATACACACATATATATATATATATATATATATAT